TATTCCATAAAACTTTTTCCATATTCCATTTACATCCATTACAATAATGCAAAATGGTTTATGATAATCACTATTTGTAAAGCATTCAAAATCAGCAAATAATATTGTGCTTTCTCCTTCTTTCTTTTTTGGTTCTTCATTAGTTTTGATTCATCAAATACTAGATTAATATTTTCTGGTGTAAACAGAAAAGAATCATAATATTTTTTCTTTATCATATAATCTCTTGTTATTTCTTCAATTGCCCCTTGTTCTTTTAATAATTCTAAACATTTATTTATTGTAATAAATTTTGTTAATGAGTGTTTATATTCATTTTTCTCCTTTTTAACAACATTAAAATATTTCTCTAAATCTTTCCCTTTTTCATTACAATAATTTATTATTTCATCATAATGTTTTATAAAATATGATGTAATTGGGACTTTTTCATCAATCACATAATGAAAGTTATTCTTCCACCGTATTAAAAACAGATTTATTGTTCTTTCTCCATAATTAATATTATTTATAACACTCTTACTTTTGTTATAATATCGAAGAATAATATTTAATTTATATTCCTTTGCTATAATATCAATTGTTTTCTTTGTGATTGAATTTCCTTTTAGCTTTGTTTTAATTTGAGCTAATTCATTCTTTGTTAAAAGTCCACTTTCATGAAGGGAATTGATAAAACAATTTTCAACATTGGTAATTTCTTCTTTAAGATATATTTGATATCTTCTTAAAATGTTTTTCAATGGAGCCCAATGTTCTGTTAAGAAGTAATTAAACAATGCTCCTTCAATTCTTTCTCTTTGTGGAGGTTTACTATTGATATGATGATTTCTTTTACTATTTTTCCTGGTGGAATATTTAATTCACTTTCTTCATCATCATATCTCCTCCAAAATTCTTCTATACCAACATTAAACCCCACACATCTATTAATGAATTCTTGTGGTTCGACATTTTCTAAATTAATAATAAATCGTCGTTGTCGACCACCAAATACAAACTCAACTAGGGGGATTAAGTCATGTTGTTTAATTAATTGACTTATTCTATAGGTTTCCCCTAGCATACCACCCCATACCTGCGCAGTATATTCTAGCCCAAAATCTCTTCTTCTAATAATACTGAATTCTATTTCTTCATCAGTATTATTTTCTCTTGCCAGACGGATTAGATGCAATTCATTTTCTGTAGGTTCTATTCTATCTAGAGTGAGGAAATCTAATGTAACATATTCCTCTTCATTGAGTATTTCCTCTAGAATAGCTTGAACCTCTGCATCAGATAATGTATCATCCGCTGGTTGGGCTATAATAGGTGGGGCATAAGGGGTTTCTTGAGAGGGGTCAGAGGGGGCATTTTGAGGAGGGACAAAAGAGGGGTCTAATTGGGGATCTTCTATTAAAGAAGTAGTACCAGCACTAGCTCCGCTAACTACTCTATTATCAGCAGTACCACCAATAATAGAAGTAGTTCCGTACTCTCCAATAGTGCGGGTATTTCTTCTTTTTCTTTCAAGAGAGGCAATAGCTTCTTCACGTCTTTGACGATATTTTTCTAAGTCAAGACGTCCAGTCTCCCTCTCTCGAAGAAAATCGTTAATTAAACGATTTTCACTGGCTTCTCTACGTTGTCGAACACGATCCCCGATCGTTTCGAAGCCAGAAGATCTATGAGAGTCAGTTTCTTTTCTTTCCAACTCTTCATAGTCTTTCTTTTGCATTGTAATTCGTCGTCTTTGGCGTCGACGACGATTTTCTTCATAATTATTAATTTTAATATTATTATTTCTGAATGACATTGATTGAATGGTTATTTAAGATAAAAAATATATAAAAATTAAATTCAAAAAGTTCAAAAAGTGTAATACTTCATAAAATTGAAAATACAAAAAGTGTAATACTTCAAAATACGAAAAGAATACCTCAAAAGAATGTACCCAGATGTCAAAAAAAGATGAATTCCATATTCTAAATATAAATAAAAATATTGTTATATAAAACATAATCTATTTATATATAAAAGTGTTATATAAAACATAAAACATAGAAATGTTATATATCCCAAAAGGACCAAAATTTCCCACTACGTACTACATGATGCTATCACACTATCGTCAAATTGTACCATAAAAAAATTATTATAAAAAGAAAAAAATAAAATAAATTCTAATTTAAGAAAATTAAAAAAATTAAAATAAAAAAATTAATTATATTATATTAAATAAAAAAAAAATAAGAAATAATAGATATATCCACAATTGGATTTTATGAATATTGAGAAGTGATTGTTTCAGTTTCTTCAATATGCTCTATTTCTACAATAGAGTTCACTTCTAACATATGAGAATTAGAAGTTCCTCTTCTAATGTGTTGCCAGTGTTAAATATGTAAAATATTAAATATTTCATGTTTTTAATAATGATTATTCGTAGTATTTTGGGGAAGTCAATTTGTAATTTTAGTGATTTTAATCTTATTACTGATTCTTTATGTATCAACCCATTGATTGTTAATATCATACGTATTATTTCTACATAAATTATTTTTCTATTTTGTCTTAACTTCTCTTGTAGTTCTTTATATTTATTTATTTTGTAAATATAATTTAATTCTATATTTCTATCTTGACATATATCAACATCATTAATATATCCTTTTTTTCTTTGATGATTTGATAATATATATCTGATATTCTAACATTAAACGAATGGTCACTAACAAATAAATCTTTATTGTAATTTATAACTATTTCATCATTATTAATACACTTATGAGGTGTATTAAAATCTATTTCATCAAATTCAATAAAATATGTAAATATGTTTATATAATTGTTTACATACATAATCGTGTTTTAATATTTGATTCTTCTTCATTACATCCTAACAATATATTGCTAATAGATGTAATTGTGTTATAACAATGTTTACAATAAATTAAAGCATCAGAATGGAGTATTTTAGATTTAATAATTCAATTCATAATTACTCCTTCTTGCATCTTTACTACTTAGAGGAAAGCATTTCTTTTTATATTTAATGACCTCCATGTAGTTACTGATTTCTTATTATTAAATATACAATTTATATTTCTTATATATTCACTTCATTTCTTTCAATTCATTTAAATATCTTTTATTTATTTTATTTGTTACAAATTCAAATACTTTGCTTACATCATGTTTTATTTCATTTAATTATATTATATTCATTAATTTATTAAAATTAATATTCTTACCAAATACTCTCTTCATTATTTTGATTATTCATTGGATTCTCTTTTACTGTTTCTATCATTTCTCTTATTTCTGTATTTAATATTTATATTTTAAATATATTCTTAATAATTCTTTACAATATTCATCTTGTGCTGACATTAATCCCATTCCTAATTCATTTATTGTAACATATAATCTACTTTTAGGTATGTTTCTACTGTATACTTAGAGTTGTATCAATGAATTTCTTATTTGTTTATCTATATTCTCAAACTCACTAAGTTTCCAATTGGCAATACAGAATTCATATCTTAATTTTGAGATTATATCATTATTAATATTTCTTATTGTATTGAGGCTGGTATATTTCATAATATTTAATAATGATAGAATAGAAAATACATCATTTAATATTCTTGTATAATATTTATTAATATTTATTTTATCTCTTATTTCAATACCAAGATATTTATAATGATTATTATTAGTTACTCTTGGTAATTCAGATAATTTTCCATTTATTTGATCATTGATATTATTCATTATCACACTCTTTTCTATATTTATTTTTAAACATATTCTATTAAATATTTATTTTGTTAATTTGTTTGTTTTTTCCATTTCTTCGAGGTTGTTAGTTATTATCTTTAAATCATCAATATAATATGTGATTTAACTTTACTTGTTTTTCTTCTCAATTCATTTTAATAGATAACTTATTAATTTGTTTATCTAATTGTTTAGATAATATATCAATAAATAATACAAATAATAATTTAGATAAACTATCATATTGTATTATTCATCTTTCTACATTAATTATACCAACATTTTGTTGATTATAATATAATTATAGTTGTGTAATATTTAATATATATAATATACTTTTAATTACAACTAATGGGATATTAAAATAAATTAAACATTGTTTAACCCATTGATGATTAATATTATCATATATTTTAGAGACATCATAATATGTTTTACCAACTTCCATTTATCCATAATTAATAACTAAAAGATTATATTATTGTATAATAATCCTTCTTTTGATAATATGTATATGTTTTACATCAAATTTGGTTTTGTAATAATTGTTTTTCAATTTGATTTAACATCAATTGGTTTTCTATCTTCATCTTTAATAAAGATGTATATACTTTTAACATACAATTTAAACAAGTCATTTGTCTGTAATTTTTGTGTGTCTAATTTATCTCATTTCTTATATATTAATATTGATCTTCATTTAATGAATTGAAGATAGATATCATTATGATTATACAACATTTTATTAAATAATTTTAATAAGAAATTCTTTGGTTGTTCTAAATATTTAATCCAGAAGCATTGTATTTTATCAATTCCATGTGATTTCCAATTATCAATAAATTTTATTGCATGATTTAATTCATCTAGAGTGATTATATATATATATATATTCTATTATTAATTCTATTTTCAATTAATATTTCATATAAATTAATATTTATGAAATCTATATTGGTGTTATTTTCATAGATTCATTTCTATAAATTAATTGTATTAATATTATCTTGATATTCATCTTCTTTATGTTTATTTAGAAGTTGTCTCTTTCCATATTTTATCATTTTATAATTCCATCTTATTCTTTTCCAATTATTCTTTCTTACTTCTATTTCTATTCTTTTCATTCTTTGGAGGTATTTGTAATAATTTATTTGCTCATTTGTTTTTATTTTAATATGATATATATAATATTTTTTAATATGTAATATTATTTTTAATTTCATATATTGGTTATTATGGAGTAAATCTCTTAATCTAGATATTTTTGATTGTAATATTCTTTCTATATTTCTCTTTCAACTTCTTTCTTGATTGTTATTAATAATTATGTTAATAGTGGAGGTTATAGTTTTAATATAATGGTAGTAATCATCTAATGTATTGATTACTATTTCATTTGTATTAATGATATTAATTATTTGATGTACTTTGTTTTTATTGTAATAATAATTAATAAATTGTACATATTCTTGTTATTTCATATCTTCTTCTTTATTTATTCTTATTATTTCTTGTATTTCTTCTTTCTTATTTATTTTATTAATTCTTTTAATTCAATATCTTTCAGTTGGTGTGTTATTAATTCTTCTTCATTTCTTTTATTGATTTCAATTTTAATTTCATTCTTTATTTTAAATGTTTTCTTTATTATTTCTTTATATTCATTAATATCTTCTATTTTAATATCAATTTCATGTATTAATCTTTTTATTTCTTCTTCTTTAAGTTGATTTCTTAATTTTATTTCTAATAATTTTAGTGCAAAACATTTATAGAGTGTTAGAATTTATTCTTCTCTATTTGTTTGATTCAACCATTTTTTTGAATGTCATGATCAGATGTGGTGATATTCTTATGCTGATTTCACATCTCTTCGATTGAATTCTGCGTTAACTTTCTTTTTTTTGAAGATCATCTTCGCTTGATGATATTTCATCAGTTACTACAACATTGGGGTGAGTTAATTCACAATTTGTGTTTCAGATGAATCAGATATAGTGTGATTTATCTATTCTTTCTTCTTTTCTTCTTGTGTAATTTTATTTTATAATTTAAATAATTTATCTTTCAAGAAGTATACTTGTTGTGATAAATTGTTTAATTCAGACATTTTCTTTTCTGATTCAGCATTGAATTCAAATAATTTTCTATCACTTTCTTGTTTTTTAGTGTTTATCTCCTTCTCATGCTTCTTCTTTAATGATATAATATCATTTGATAATTTATTAATGGTCTGGTCCTTCTTTTGTATTTCTTCATTTCTTCTTTCTCTTTAATATTCTCTTCTTTTCTTTAATTCTTCTATTCTTTTATCTTTTTCAATGTTCTTTTCTTCTTCTTCTTCTTTTAATTTCGTCTTTTCTTTTTCATTAAACATCTTCTTCTCTTCAGTAAATTCATTTTCATCATCATTTTCATTATTGTATATTTCTTATTTAAATATTTATCATTTATTTCATTTTGATTTAGTTGTTTATCATCTTCTTCAAGTGTCATACTGATCGTTTCTTCTTCCATTCTATTCATTTTTATTTTTTCTCTTGCAAGTAAATACCATCTTCTCATTATTGTTGATGGTGTGTATTCTTTAGTCTTAGTGTTCTTAATTTATTCTACTTTTTGTGGTGTAAGATTTTAATTTCTTCTTCAAATAGTCTTTTCTAATATTCTTGGTTTTGTATTTCTATCATTTCATTTCTTTTATTTCTTATTTGTTGTTGTCTTTTATTATGGTATTATTTATATCTGTGTTGTGTTTTATTATGTGATTTATTTGTATCATAATATTGATTGATTCTATTTGAATTATTGATAAAAGGTCACGAAATTATGCGTTTCGTTGAACAAAAGAAAGAGAAAACAAAATAATAATAAAAGAAAGGATGAAAAGAACTGAAGATATTGAAAAGTTAGTTACAATAATAAAAAAAGAAAAAGGAAATGAAGATGAATAGAAAGAAGTATTAATTGAAAATAAAGAAAAGAGAGAAGAAATAATACAAGAAGAAGTTAAAGAAACAGATGAAGAAG